AGTGTTTTTAAATTATTCCCTGCGTCCTAACATATAATGTTTCTTGAACTCTAACGCATAATATTTTATTATATATAATTATACATAGATCATAATATCGTATAAAGAAAATATTTATCTGCAACATGTCCAAAAATTCGAGTTGATTAACTTAACATGCCTCAGTGGTCGAATTGGTGAGACGCCTAGAGTGTAGGGAGGTCCAGGTTCAAACCCTGGCTGAGGTAATATTTTTCGCAATAAATAATGAAAAATGCCGGATTCGGTCAAGAAACGCACTGACGTTGTTGATTAACCTAAATCTGCAAAAGCTGTTACTACAACTTGTTGAGGGAGAATAACATAATAATTCTGTAAAATGATTATCAATTACATAAATGTCGCAAAACGGAAACGTACTTTGATACGACATTGAACGTAACAAACAAGTCGGGTTTGTAAATTTCTAAATGATATTACGTCATCGACAAAACATCTATCTAGAGTGTGACACACACGGGTGGGTACACGCCTTTTCTGCTCGTAAATCTTTCTCAGAGATACGAGAGCGTTTCCACTAAACGTGATGAAACTCGGGCGTCTGATCAGTACGCGGATGCAGACATTGCAGAAGAATCCGAATGAAGAACAGCACAAGAAATTCGTTAATCATGTTTCCCCTGAGAAAGGTGCGGTAAGACATGAAAAATTATATCAGAACCGTTATCGTGTATCGATTACTTGATTAACGATGTCAATTTCCAGTGCGAAATGGAGTTGCATGTTTGACAATAAAGGAAAAGGCCAGAATAAAATAGAATTCTCATTGTGCAATTTGAGGGAAAATAATGAAGGAAAATACTGAAGTAACGCAATTAAAATTCAACGAACGCTCTCGCGGAAAATACTTGGCTGTTTACTTATTTTTTTTTTTTTTTAAGATTACTAATTGCGGGCCCCAAAATGGGTTGCTAACTGTCGTTTTTTTTTCCCAGAGTAGAGACTGATTTGAATACCGTTCACACGGCTCGGTGGTATCGTACGATGAGCCTCGTGTCGTTGCGAGGGGCTCGTCTCGGCCGTGAGAGACACTCGGCGATAAAACCTGTGGCGTGATGTGGAATTTCTGGCTGTTTGACTGGTTATCAGGAGGCAACCGTGTCTATTAATGTGGCCGTGCCTACGCGGATAGTCGCGCACGATTGGTCCAGAAGCGAGTAAACATGTTTTTTTTGTAAAGCGCCGATCTCTATCGTCGTCATTACCTCGCCTAAGGACGACCGTGTTCATATAAAACGGGGGAGTGCCGTGGAAATTTCTGTATTTTACACCGGGAAAAGAAACGCCGTGTCGAAGTGTCTCCGGAGAAGAGGATCGCTGGCGACATGAAGGACGAGCTCAAGGTAGCAAAACCGTTTCAATTCCGACAGGTCGACAACATTCTTTGTCGGAGGATACTTTTCCTCGTTGCATGCTAAAGAAAGCCTGTCTTTTTGCCGTGGAAATGATAGTTGGAATTTCTTTTACTCACTGTTCGAGCACTGTTCGATGTAATTTTTCAAATAGTGTTCTGCGAGTTTCCAAGTTCTTTCATGCAATTCCGTTTAAAATTTAATATCACAGTGTACTTCTTTTAAATGAGCGTACAAAATATTGGTAGCAAAGAATATTTCGATGTACGAATCGTTGAAATTTAAAGTAAAGCTTGCCGTTGCGAGACAGTGTGTTAATTTAACGGGAAAGAGTGTGCTTGTGTTCTATCGAGAAGTGTCTTCTAGTATCTTACGGGATTCGGCTGTGAGTTCTCCAGCGAGGATGAGCGTTATCCAGGAGCGCTGCCCATTGGGCAGAACAACCCGCAGAAGTGTCCATATGGTCTTTACGCCGAACAATTGTCGGGCACGGCGTTCACCGGTGATTAAACAACCTTTCTTTCTTGAAGCGATTCGTCCTAAAGAACACTTTGTATTTCAATTATACATTTTTAATCTTATACACGTCCGAGTTTTACGATTGTCAAACGAAAAGTCGGTCAGTCCGAAGTAAGAATTTGAAAAATACAATTTGACCGAAAATCAACAGATCCGTCATCGAGTATAAGTAGAGGAAAGTCCTCTAATATGAGATAGTAGGTTTTCAACGTCCACATTCAATCACGGATCTTTTTTTCGCGACGATTACGCTATCTAACAATCAATTTTCCACTAAACAGGTTTCACTCCAAGCGCAATAAAGCCTATCACACAATGCGAGGCAACAGGCAACAGGAATAGGGAATAGAATTTTTGACGCGTTGGATTGGTTGAAGGAAAATTTCCGACGAATCCAACGCGTCAAAAATTCTATTCTCTATTCCTGTTGCCTGTTGCCTCGCATTGTGTGATAGGCTTCAATTTGTGGTGAAATCAACGGACGATGCCTATTAATTTAGCGGAAACTCGGCTATCTCGTATTAGGAGCCTATCTCGTGCCAGGGGACTTTGCCCTATAAATTATGTAGTGGGATAAAGGGAAAATTTTTGTTCGCTTTGTTTCGAAAGAGATAAACTTATTGTTAGCCCAAATGCGATTAGATTTCCGTCTCGGATTTTTAACTCGTCTCTTATCAAATTTGATAAAGAGCAGTCTCGAGATACCACGAATTCTATAGTGAGAAATGTAATCACGTTGCTTGAAGTTGTTATGAACGCGACGATGAATAACATTATTACTCGAAAATGCCATTGTTTCCGTTTTCTAGCTCCGCGTGGACAAAATAGAAGATCGTGGCTCTACCGAATGAGACCATCCGTTGTCCACAGTCCGTTCAAACCCTTTGTTAAAACTCATGGTGGCGAATCTTATGTAAAAAACGATTGGAACGATACTTATCCGAATCCTAACCAGGTACATGATATCAAATCGAAGGATTCGATGCAATACGATTTGACCAGACACAATTAATGCATATGTAATTTAATAATTTTTGTAACGTCTCCAGTTTCTCTTTCCGCTTTATGGTTCTCTTAAGTTCGTGGAAAAATATAACAGACCTCTGTTGTACTGAATATTTCAACCTGCGAACTGTCGGAAGGACTAGCTTCCCTGACGCTAACTGTTTGCGCTTCAGTTAAGATGGAAGACTTTCGACGTCCCGACTCGACGAGATCCCGAGGTCGACTTTATCGAGGGTCTTCACACTCTGTGCGGTGCTGGCGATCCCAAGACGCGCCAGGGCATTGCGGTGCACGTGTATTTGTGCAACGCTTCTATGAAGGACAGGGCTTTCTACAACGCTGATGGCGATTTTCTCATCGGTAGGTGATAGAAAGGCAACGTCGACCCCTTTCTAAAACAAAAAAAGAACACAGTGTACGTCAAATTTCGATTCCGGTTGCAGTGCCACAGCTGGGCGCTCTGCAGATCACCACCGAGTTCGGCAAAATGCGCTGCGAGCCGAACGAGATATGCGTCGTTCAGCAAGGTATGCGATTCTCCGTGACCGTTTTCGGTCCATCCAGAGGTTACATCCTCGAGGTCTTCGACAATCATTTCCAGCTGCCGGAATTGGGACCAATAGGTAATTAGATTCGAAGAATTGAGGGGCCATTCCGCTTTAACGGCCCGAAAACTATGCTTATCTTTAACAATTTTTTACCATTCTTTTTCCTTTTTCTTCTTTTTTTCACAATCTATAAAAAATTTTTACGTCTCTTCCATCGGGAAGATTGGATATGTTCGTGTTTCTTTAACAAGCGATTAATGAGCTGGGCTAATTGCGCAGGAGCGAACGGTTTAGCGAATCCGCGAGACTTTCAGACACCGGTGGCTTGGCACGAAGATCGCGCGATCGATTACGAGATCGTATGCAAATATCAGGGAAAGCTGTTCGTGGCCAATCAAGGTCACAGTCCCTTTGACGTGGTCGCATGGCATGGCAATTATGCACCGTACAAATACGATCTCAATAGGTTCATGGTCATCAATTCTGTCTCCTTTGATCACTGCGTAAGTAAACATCATATCTAACTGCGCATCGACAGTAAGAAAGAAAAATTTCTATACATTGCAATTAAATATCGTTATCAATTTTTTTTACGTTCAATGCAAGGGAAAAGCTTGTTGACGATTGAATATTATCTTCGATAGTAAACCGCATATTATTGCTTCCTCTTTAATTCGTTTTAATATATATTTTAAAAACTCACAGATGAATTTCATATCGCCAGCAGTCAAACGCCAATGATATCTAATTTTAACGACCTACACTGGCCAATGTTTTAAAACAAAACACGTTACAACGTTTCGGTCCCTGAATCCGAAATCACATATAACTCTGCACAAACATTGTTTAATGAAACAATTACAACGAAAACAAACCACAAAATTCACACCTGTTACAAAATTATTAAAGATCGCATATTAATTGTTTGGCCAATACCACTGTGACAGTAAGCTGTAAATAAATAAACTTTCATATTAGTCAAAAATAACAATTGCATTCTTTGGTCGAGGGGTGCAAAGTCCATTGAAATTGCATCGTTGATTATTAAATATGAACAAAAGTGACAAGAGGCCTGTAGTAGACGAGAGATCAAGTTGGACTGAAGATAACGAAATAAATAAGAGAGTGACAATAATACATTTCAAAGTTTTGCGGTTCAATAAAACACACGTGTGATAAGAGCTTTTTAACTCTTCTCTGCTCTTTCGAATTCCATTGTGATTGCTCGCGGGATGTTAAGTAGCTGAATTAATTCGGCAGGATCCTTCCATCTTCACCGTGCTGACGTGCCCCAGTAACAAGCCTGGAACCGCCGCGGCTGATTTTGTTATCTTTCCACCCCGATGGTCCGTGCAGGAGCACACTTTCCGACCCCCTTATTATCATCGTAAGTATATTCCTAGAAAGTATACATATATATTTTTTTTTGCGTTGATGTACACGCTGGTGTGCAGACGAAACTGATCCGCGTAAACTTTTCTTGTCGCAGTTTCACGTGCAGGGGAAATCGAAGTCTATGCTAATGCAATTTAACAAATTGTATTGCTATTAAAAATATTATTTTTTTTAAGAAAAGAATTATATATATATTTTGTATGTAATATAAGCAATAAAAATCAGGGTTAGGAAGTAACCCGTTACTTGTAACGAAGTTGCGGTTACAGTTACTTTTTTTTCGTAACTCTAGCTTAAGTTCGTTACTTTCTCTCCATCTGTAACTGTAACTTAACTCGGTTACATTTTTTCGACAACTAGCAACTAATTTAATTGTTGCACTAATAGTTACTTTATATATTTTTTAAACCTTTACAGATTGCATTAAGCCTTGCATTTGCACCTAAACGCCTTTATTAATTTTTACAATTTAAATGCAGATTTAATATTTTTATTTTCATTGCAAGAAAGCAATTGCAAAGTGACGATTTGTTACTTTTTGAGTAACTGTAACTGTAACACGTTAGTTTTCGGAATTGGTAACTTGTAACTGTAACCAAATTGACTAGTAGAAAGTATGGTAAAATTTCAAGAAACTCTCATAAGTAAACTTTAAGAGAAAATCCTCTGCGTGTGTCTTTTGTCGATTAATTGTAAATTTAAACAAACTGCTGAAAATTATGATACACTTATAATAGCCAGGATTGGGGGAAAGTTACTTTATAAAAGTTCCACTAGTAAAATGTCCGGTAAAATTTCAAAAAACTCTCATAAAGATCTTCGAAATGCCATGTTGTCCCACGATTACATGATTTTCAGGATAAATGTTAAGAAAAAATTCTCTCCGCGTACTAATTTCGACAAATATCATTCTGAATTATAGAAATAAAACGTATAGAAATTGAAGACAAGATACTGTATTTAAGGATTGCCTTAGATACTCGACATATCTTTCAAGTCTCTTTTAGACGTTCTGTATCTTGGGTTTATTTGGTAACTGGTTAGCTACTTTCCTGATCAAACTACCGATCCGACGGTCCATGACGCGTTTACTAAACACGGTACACCGCCAAGAAATGGTGGATAGTGCGGCTTTTTTCCCCGTTGCCGGTCTCGGGGGGTCGATTACGCGCGAGTGCTCCGTCGACCTCGACTCGCCGGTGTCTTCGTTCCAGAAGAGCGCTCCTGAAAATTGTGCAACCGAGTTGGCTCGGAGAAAACTCGAAATTTTTCCCGGCGACCGATCGCACGGCGTCTCTTTCCCCGGCGGGTCGTTTCACCGATTTCCTGTCGCTGCAATCCGATCGATTATGACGAGACGGGACCACTTTCGTTCGACGTCGCGGCTGTCCTCGTCGTATTTCGCTGCATTATCGCGCTCTCCTATTGAGAAAGTCCATCGCGTGCAAAGAGAAAGACGGGTAGGCACGATGCGCCTATCGACGAGGCTGCATTCTTACGAGTTAAGTAATTGAAAACCACGAGAAGCGGCCATTATCGGTGTCCTCAGTGTCTATTCCGCGGTACAGAAGTTACATACGTGCAAAATTGTAGGATCGATCGGAGTAATCGTGACGGCGGATTAAACGCGTTGTGATATTTTTCAAAATGAATGCGTCAAAATGATATTTTTCAAAATCAATGCCGAAAACTGCTACGAAAATATGACTAAAAATTGTATCCTCGTGAGACATTTTTACTACTCTCCATATTTCATAAAATAAAATTCTACGGTAATGTAGTTGTAGCTAAGGGTAACGTCTCTTTAATACAATTTTAATTTTATGAGTAAAGATTTCTAATACAAATTTTCCACCGATTAATTATACTTCCATTAATTTTACTTCTTCCGTAATTTCTTAGTTCAGTTTCTCTCACTTCGGATACTGAATTATTTAATATTTCTATCTCTTATTTTTAATATTTTTCGATGAAACATTCAAATTTAATTAACAACGTCAGCGTTTTCCTGACTATATCTGGCATTTTTAATAGTACAGAAAATTTATTGCGAAAAATATTACCTCAGCCCAGGGTTTGAACCTGGACCTTCCCTATCTCAAACCTTGGCTGGGTTAATATTTTTCGCAATAAATTTTCTGTATTATTACAAATGTCAGATATGGTGAAGAAAACACTGACGTTGTCAATTACTGCCGGCGTGTTGAAGAATATTCTTATTAATTAATAAAATCGCCTTTGTACGTACATATACTGTTTTCTATACATTGATAAATATACAATTTTGCTAATGTGAAACTGCGCAACGACGCACGAGGCTGCTAGCAATATGTATCTCGAAATATGTTTGGCGCAGCAGTAAGAGTAAGCTGCCGTTCGCTGCTTTCTCCGAGATTTGATAACCAGTAGCAGCGTATTCAATGCGGGCCATTCTCCACGTTAATGAATAAGTCGGCGGCGCGTGCAGAGCGATAATATGCAAAAGACGCGTAATTTCCATTGCAGATCTGGCCGCCGCGTTTCGTTGCGCGATCGCGAGTCGCTCGTGACGTATGTACACGCGCTCATTTCGCGTACTGGCTCGTCGATGGCGTCCACCGACGACGAGGATTAACGTTGGCGGATTAAATCGGTCTATTATCGGTACTGTACGATTCATTCAGCATCTGCCAACGCCGAGTCGCACGTTTCGCGAAAAGACCTGTCGTTGGCTGACATTTATAAAGTCAAATCGTAGCTTATTTATAAAATAATGTATTGGAACTTGTATAAGCGAGTATCGGCGCATTCCAATAACTTTTTTCTTGCATTTTTTAATAAGACGAGAATATTTCGCGGAATTCATTTGCGTCGATGCAGTCAACGATTTAGTAGCGATTTAAAATCAACTGGATAATGCGAAAGAGACTTGTTTTTCCATTTCCTTTTGATCTTTCTTAAATAAATTTGTGCTACACTTGCGGCGTACATTATCGAACGTTTGTATTAATTAATTCTTAGGAGAAAAAGTTGCCTGTATTTTATTTCCAATCGATTAGGTGAGAAACTAACTAGTATACATTGTCATTTTCTAAAATTTATATTTTTATAAAATTGCAAGGATTAAGTTTAATGACAATTTCTTATATAATTAATGAAATTTCTTATACAAAGAATTAAATATTTGTAAACATGTTGTATTTGCGTGTCGTTACTGTTTGGGCTGAGTGGTCGCTATGATATCTTCTCTTACACGGAGAGAATTTTCTCTTAAAATTTATCCTGAAGATCATATTATTTTATTTATCAAAGAATGTTATGAGTTTTTAAAATTTTACCATACATTTTACTATAATAGTAAAACTCTCATAAAGTTCTTCAAAATGCCATATTTTTTGGAGAGTGAGTTTTTTGAAATTTTCTATACATTTTACTAGTAAAATGTATCGTATAACAAAATTTCAGAAAACTTTTACAAAGTCCTTTAAAATGCCACGATTACACGATTTTCAGGGTAAATTTTGAGAGAAAATTCTCCCCCCGTGTATGCACAATGAAATCTTTTTCGAACTGTCAAATATAAGAAATTGTCATTAAATTTAATCCTTGCAATTTTATAAAAATACAAATTTCAGAAAATGACAATGTATACTAGTTAGTTTCTCACCTAATCGATTGGAAATAAAATACAAGCAATTTTTCTTCTCAACAATTAATAATATTATTAAGTATTTATCATACGTTGGTCTATCTGTTTCCTACCTAATCTCTTTTACAATAACTTATATTTCCTCTCTTTTTATATCTAATCTTATAATTTACATATCTTTTCTGATCACGATATGAACAAGGCAATTTTGGATCCTCAGGAAACTGCATGAGCGAATTTATGGGATTGATAAAGGGCCGTTACGAGGCAAAGGAGGACGGTTTTTCTGCCGGTGGTGCATCGCTGCATTCCATTATGACTCCGCACGGTCCCGATAAACAATGCTTCGAGGCTGCGTCCAATAGCGAGCTGCTGCCAGAGCGGATCGCTGACGATACACAGGCGTTTATGTTCGAAACCTCGTACAGCATGGCGGTGACAGAATGGGCCAGTAAGCTTTGCGGCAAGCTGGACAGTGACTACTGCAAATGCTGGCAGGGTCTGCAGAAGCACGTCGATCTCACTGATAAACAGGCCCAAGTTGCTTAACACGTAAAACGACGTCAGCTCTGAAAATAAATTTTTCACATCTTCTTTTCTCTCCCACCACAGAGATCATTATTTTCGGACGACATTTTATTTTAGCAACTCTACGTCATCTTTGAAAAAAGAAACACACCGTTTCCTTTCTTTTCAATAAGCAAGAGCCTTTCGGGTATTTCTTGTTATATTAAACTGTTACTGTTACTGATGTTTGATATTTTCGCTGTTGAGGGAGTTTTTCGGTCACCTCTTTCATGGTGTGTCGCATCCACGAAGATATCGTGCAAAACTGCAAAGTTATCTGGTGCGTGTAGCTGGGACTGATTATAAATTCGCGTACGAAGAATGTTACCGGGTGCAAGGAACTTTTAATCGTGTCTACCTGCTACCGCGGTCAGTTCTCGATATGCAATTTGAAAGTATGTTAAGTTAAGCATTACTGATATTTACAAGTACATTACATTGAAATTTACTTTAAACGGTGACTTACGTACCATAAGTGCTCATCAATTGTCACACATTATGTTATAAACGATAGTTGACTCTTTTGAAATTATTAATTACGTTTACAAAATTGTGCCAATTGTGTAAACCAGATGAGCCTCTTAGAAACCAAGTTATCGATTCCACGGAATAAAACCTAG